GAGAAGGGTCTAGACCCGAAACATCAGCTTTCCTGCTCCTCTGATGCTGCTTGGCCTGCTGTGTTCATCCAGCTCTACACCTTGTTATCTGAGAAAATTCAGCAACCTGTTTAACTGAGTCTTGATGCAGAAGATTCTTGTGTTATACCACACTAATGAGTATTTTAAAAAGCTAACTAACAATTCCATGCTGACAATGGTAGATATCAGAATCCTCATCATGCATTTTTCTTTCCCTTAAATAGTGGAACTACAGTTGAAATTTTGTAAACTAGAAAAACAGTTCCTCAATAAGCAATGTTTTGCAAGAAGAGGACAAATGCACCTGCACTTTTTTTAAAATCTATTTATTTTAATACTCTATGGTGGAGACCATTAAGTTTTGGAGATTTATATATCTGAAGTCCTGTAACTTTCTCCATTCTCCAGTTCCTATTTTCTGCTATTCTGACATGACCCTACTATTCATTTCTTTTTTAACCTTAAATGCCATTAGCTGTCTTGGTCCTACACTCTGAAATACTCCCAACTAGCCCCTCCTTGCAACCACGTCTTCCCACAACTTCAGAATCTACTTCTTTCACCAAGCGTATAGATGCTACCTTAATATCATGCCTAAGAATGTTAAACCTGTTCCCCTTCGACACTTCTTTTATCTGAAGTACCTTAAGATATTTGCTGCATTCACCAGTTCAAATTATTGCCATTCCCATCACCTTCTTTGGGGAGTGAAGTTGAATTTGTTTTTTTTTTGCTCTACACTTTTCATCTCAAATCTATGACTTCAATGGTCAAGAGTTACAAATAGCTGGAAAATTGTTGAAAGTTGTGTAGTTTGGAAGGGGAAGTTACAAAGGGAAGTAGTCAGGTAAATGTGTTGCAAAATAGTAGCAGATAGAGTTCAACGTGGTAACGTGAGAGATCAATGACTTTGGATTTGAGAGACAGATCAGAATATTTTAGTAGTGAATGGTTAGGAACTATGAAGGAACAAAGAAAAGTGGGTATTCACAGATCACCAAAAGCCGCCTACGTGATTGGAACCACATCCACAAGCATCCTACCTCCACCACCAATGCTCAGTAGCAGCAGTGTATACCATCGACAAATGCACTGCAGAAATTCACCAAAGATCCTCATCCAAACCCATACTACTTCTGTCTCGAAGGACAAGGGCAGCAGATACCCAGAAACACCACCACCTGCAAATTCCCCACCAAGCCACTCAGCATCCTGCCTCGGAAATGTACTGTCGTTCCTTCTCTGTCCCTGGTCAAAATCCCAGAATTCCCTCCCGAAGAGCACTGAGAGTCTGCCTACACCACATGGACTGCAGTGGTTCAAGAAGGCAGCTCACCACCAACTTCTCAAGGGCAACTACGGATGTACAATAAATGCTGGCCAGCCAGCGATACCCACATCCCAAGAATGAATAAAAGAAGGCTTCTGCACAGGTTCAAAAAAACAGAAAGTGAATGGTGTGATAGTCTTTACCTCAAGACAGTTCAAATTCAAGTCAGGAAATTATGTTTTACTTGTACAGAGACATGGTCAAACTCAATTTGAAATGCTGCTTTCAGTGTTAGACACTATAACATAGGACAGATCTATTGACCTTGGTGAAAATGTAGCATAAATTATCAACATGACACTAAGGTTGAAAGGGCTAAATTATAGAGACAGTAATGTAAATTTGGTTTGTACTCTGTTGAGTTTGGAATGGTCTAAGGGGTGATCTATTTGAGGTATCTTGAAGTATTAATGGATTTGATGGGCAGACCATGGCAAAGTGATAATGCGACTGGATATTTTTTTCATCAATAAATTGAATGTAATACAAATCAAGACCTGAAAGTAGCCACACAAATGATGCAACAAAACTACCCATCGATTGTTGTAAAAACCCATCTGGTTCATCAGATCTGGTACCATAACCTTGCCTGGCCTACGTGCAACTCCAGACCGACAGCAATGTGAATGTAGAATCCCTACAGTGTGGAAACAGGCCCTTCGGCCCAACAAGCCCACACCGACCCTCAGAGAATCCCACCCAGACCTGCCCACCTATAACCCACCTAATCTACACATCCCTGAACACCAAGGGCAATTTAGCATGGCTAATCCACCTAACCTGCACACCTTTGTACTGTGGGAGAAAACCGGAGCACCCGAAGGAAACCCACGCAGACACGGGGAGAATGTGCAAACTCCACACAGCCAGTTGCCCAAGGATGGAATCGAACCCGGGTTCCTGGTGCTATGAGGCAGCAGTGCTAACCACTGAGCCACTGCACCACCCCATTGGCTTTTAACTGCCAGCTAAAATACCCTAGCAAGCCACTCAGTTTAAGGGCAATTAGGAAAAGAAATTAGGGTAACTGAAGCTGACCTTGCCAATGCCATTGACATCGTATGAAAGAATAAAAAGAACAAATTTGCTTTTCCTTATCTGCCAACTGCCAGTATTTAGTCACTCATTGAGATTTTGCAGGAGGCGCCCCATTACTTGAGAAGGAGACAGCTTCCCTTTCTAACTAATGATGATAACAGGTGCTCGAAGCTGAAAGGTCGATGAGAGGCACTTAAGCTTGAGAGAAACAGCAATTAGTGACTGAGAAGGGGGTCCAGTAAAGGAATAAAGGCCATTACAATACATTAGCAACACATAATTGCTCAGGCTCTTGATGGGGCACCACCATTAATGTTCTAGAAAAACTGGCCACCTCGTCAAAGTGTAAAATGGATTCATTCTGTCAACTTCTTTTCATGGGATAATTAATCGAATTGTTGTTCCGAGGGAAGGAAGGCCTGTGTGACTATAACAATGCATCAGTATCCTGAGTTCTGGGACAAAAGTGACCCACAGCTGTTTGACAATGAGGTTTTAGAGTAGATTTGTAGCTCGGGTTGTGGTTGTTGTGTTTGGTTGGCTCGCCGAGCTGGTTCATTGTTCTGCAGACGTTTTGTTACCATGCTGGGTAACATCATCAGTGCAGCCTCCGATGAAGCGCCATTGTGTTTTCCCTCCTGGTATTTAAACTCTGGAGTCCGTTGAGCTGGATAACCTTGGAGATTGAGTGGGAAAAGACTAAGATCCTGGGACAAGCAAAGCAGAAACAAGCACA